GGATCCACCGCCTGTGCAATCATTCACAATATGCGTTCCACAAATCGTTATCTACAAAGTTTGTCAGTAAAAGCAGTTTCAAATGCTTTATTAAATGTGAGATACATTGACGACTTGATATCTAGCGGATTATACTTACAAACAGAAACAAAAATAGAAACTTTATTATACAATATAGATTATAAATAATACTTATTGAAAGTCACTCTTACGTTTAATTTAGCACTGGTTCGGAAAACACCTCTGTCTTGGGAAGAACCAGCAAAAAACCCTACGAAACTTTTTTGTTGAAAAAAAAAAAACATTTTACAATCACATATGTTACACATTCAACAACACAAAACAAATTATAAATAACTTCGTAGCGATCACCTAACTCCTAAAATATTTTTTTAAATAAAATAAGGGTGACAAACAAGCACACAGTCCACCAAGTGGTAAATGGACGCTGTGGTCCATAGACATCACATTAATCCTCGATTAAGAATCAATACGCAGATGCGTAGTCACCCCTGAGGACTAAGATGGAATGCCTCGTTTCCAGTAAAAAAGGGTCTCGAGATCTCTACACTTAACATACGAAATATAGTAGTATTCAGCTACTATTTTACACTGGTATTCTGTGAGAGCGTGGTCTTCCCCGGTCGAACCGATCCATTCGTGCTACAACCATAATATAGCTGCAGTGTGCCTTTACCACATACAAAATTCATGTTATATTTTATTCAATATAGAATGTTATAGTTTTCTAAGGTCATCTTTTATTTACGCCTGGGCAGGTCGGTAGTGGTATTATAGTACTTATGTATACTTATTATAAGTATCATTATACTTATGACTGATGTAAACTTACTTTAATAATATCAGGTTTGGAACATGTAGTATAAATACAAGTTACAATTCATATTTAAAAATGTAGCTAGGGTTGCCAGCTCCGGTTTTATGTTTTGGAGGATTGGATAATATCAAATAAAGTACATAGCATAAAAATAGAGGTTATAGTATTGTTATCAATAAAATTCTGTTAGGGTGTCAGTTACAACATTTATAAATAGAAAATAGAAAAGCAATGTTAGTTCACAATGTAACATAATTGGTCTCTAGCATCGCGCGTCACTTCAACGTGATTTTTAAACTCTTTGACCTCACAGAAAGAATAAGGGTGCGGCGCTATCGTTACGTCACAAGCAAAAAGCACCGAAGCCTAAATCGCGCTATTAAAGTTCTGAAGTCACCGCGTTATATGTAGAATATCTTTATGCTTGTGAATCTCTTACTAAGTTAAATGTAAAATACGCGCCATATTGCCTTGTCCTCTATTAAATGTTTCAAATTAGGGGACAAGATCAAGTTTTGGGTGTGAAATGGACGTTTGGAAAACCTAGATATAGCATAAAATGTTATTTTAGTAGAAAGTAACAGCCAACTTCTAATTTCCACATAACAGTTTCAAGAGCCGGCGTTAAGACATTGCGTCTTGAACTGAAGAATTGTAAAGCATTCAGACAGCTGTTATGTAGAAATTATTTTATTATATTTACGTAAGTACTTTGAATTGGTCTTTTTTATGAAAAAGTTAATTTCTTTGGCAATTTTGAGTGGACCAAGGAATATCGCAAGCATAAGCTAGCCACTAGAATGGCGATGACAAATTTAGGAGTCAATATTTACACTCAAATTTATATGGGATTACCCCTGAAATCTAACCTATTTAAAACAAAAATAATTATTAAAATTGATTCACAATTGAAGAAGATGGTCGGATCGGTCCAATCTACGCAAGAAAATTAATATTGGCTGACTATGACTTGGGACGTAAAACATCTCAGTCTCCCCCGTGACCATGGGTGTTGTAAAGCACCCGAAACGTTGGGAATTAAAAATAAGTAAAAGTAGTTAATTAAACGCGACAAAATCCGTAAATTTAGTTTTATTGAATGTGTAGTATTCGCGTATATTTAAGAAATCATTAGTAAAAGACCAATTCAAATTGTTTATTAAATGTCACATTACACATTTAAGATGGTATGTTAAGACATTTGGTTGTATGAATATCGTATGTACTTATAACATATAATAAAAACTCTGTGGTTCCCGTTAAGTGCGTTATCAGAATCCGTATTTAAACGTATGGAAATAACTTTTCTTCAGAAAATTCGGCCGAAAAGAATTAAATTGCATTAAAGCAAATGTTGTTTGCAAATTGTATGTGGTTTGATTACCTTTAACTTTAGATCGGGTCTTTGATAATAGACTTGCTCCCCGACATATGCAGAGGTGATAAAACCACATATAATTTGCTCATAAAAATATTTAAATTAAATTACAAAATTTTATGGTCGAGTATTCTGAAGTTATTTCAATAAGTTTGAATAGTGATTCTCACAATGCACTTAACGGGAACAACAGATTGTTGTTGCATGTTGTATATTGTATACGCGGTAGCGCCACGCTGCAGCTTCCTTGTGGTCGTAGCACGAATGGGTGGGCTCGATAGGGGAAGGACCACGCTCTCACAGAATACTGGCGTAGAATAGCAGCTTAATATTTCTGTCTTTTATATGGTGTGTGTAGAGAACCGGAGACAATTATTACTTGAAATTAGGCATTCTTAGTCTCCAAGAGTAAAAACGCATCTGCATTTTGATTCATAATTGAAGATTCATTTTTGATTCTACTTACCATCCGGTGGACGGTGCTTATTCGTCTCCTATATTCTGTAAAAATCTACATAATACTGTTATTGTCTACTAACAGTTTTAAGAGAAAACCGACTGACAAACAAGCTGATAGTTCATTTGATGGTAGAATAAAACTAAATGAAAAAGAAAAACATTTGCGTTGTTGCCCTTAAATTAATTATATTAAGAAAAAGTTATAATGAATCTTCTTACGATAAGAGAGTCAAAAACCTATTGAACATTTTATTATTCATAATCCTTCGTCATCAAATAATCTTCGTAAACACCTCTTTCCATATTTATGGGATATTTTTTAATTGCTTTAAAACAGCAAAACAAATATAAAAATTAGTAGACAAAGACTCTGCTCCACGATTTTGTATTTGCATAGCATTACCAAATTAATTAAAATCACTAAAATGTCGCAAGCTTCAACAAGTTCGACGGTAGAAGTGGTAGAAGCGTGATAAAAACGTGCGTAACAATTATGTGAAGATTCAAAATGTTAGCAATCTCTGCGGAATGTTTGAGAAAATTGGAGTTACGTGTAGATGGCGACCGGTGTAACCTCACGTAATCTGTGACGTACAGTTAAACGGAATTTTATTTTTTTTGTTATTTAATAAACGTCACCTCCAACGTATCGCAATCAATGGAGAAAATCTTTATCATGGTGCTGTTTTAACATTTGACATACATAAATGGGACATGACCAAACTCAGGCTGAAGTTATTACTAGGCTTACAATTATTTAAAATAACCAATAAGTGAGATACCCGCGACCCGCGACTATTACCCTTATTCTACGTTACAGAGCTGAGTAACAAAAATATGCACAGTAAATATCTATTATATCAAATTTATTACTGGACCAAACAACCAAAAAATTAAATAATTATAAAGTTCTATTTCGTTGGTGTAATGCTAAGAACGCTAGCTGCGTTTCTTCGCTGAATGCTATACTTAGCCTTTGACCAAGAAAAGAACCTGCCCTGCTATCACAAGCGGCGGCGACAAGCCGTAGATTCAGTTCCTGTAGGAACCTATCATTGTATTCGTCTTTATCATTATCACAGCCTATGAAAAGTCCTTTCCCACAGATGGTCACTGCGTTGTTGGGATTGGGATGTTAGCTATAGTGGCCGCGCTCAGCAGGCGGGCTCACTATCCAGTTTTTTTCTAAACATTATTGGGGAGTCTTCGCTGTACACACCTGGTTTGTTATTCTCTGTCGCCCTTTACGAAACGCACTGGCGATATGAGTCAGGGAATATTCTTAGACTTTCACTACATGGTTTTATTATATTATTCTAAAATAAAATTTGATTTTTAATATATTATTAGGTCGTGGTAGCTCAAAGAAAAGGCGCTCGCCTTTCAAATAAAAATAAAGAAACAAACATTTGTTTGTCCCACACACAATATTAAGAAATAAAGAAATTTGTAAAAATTATAAATTGGTAATAATGCTATTGTGTCAGCGTTGGTTTTCAGTCCGGACTTTTTTACGGGGGACGGGGTTAATTGACTTACGAACTATCGGATACTGGTAAAAAAACACTCAAACTGTAATAATGGAAAACCAAAATTAAAAAAATATAATAGACCTAGATCGTGCGATGCATATTAAATAAGCTGATTTTTTTCTTAAATTAAAAGTATGCTATTAACAAAAATATAACAGTAATAGATGATTATAGAAATTATACTTTCTAGAAGTATATCGAGTAACAGAGCAACTATGTATCAGATACCACTGTAGCACAGCGTTACTTCACAGAACATTAACACCGAACTCAAAGAAATAATACTAACATAAAATATGTATGATATGATGCACTGAATGTCAGATACTATATTTGTGTAAAGCATGTTACGTATCTAATTTGACTCTTTCGTTATAAGATATAATTGTTTCAGAGTATTATAGATATTAACCAATACTTAGTTATTACAATATCTATAAATGTAAGCAAAGTGAATTCATCGAAAATTGGATATCGACGTTTAGTAATGGATACTAATTTCCTTACAGAGTAACAGAATCACTTATCTTAGATATCAACAGATACAGAAATATTGAAATATATAGACTCAAAATCATATATTCATATCCAATACATAGATACGATTTGATACAGGTTACGAGTGGTATTCATTCATTCGTTACGACCCTTCAAAGCCCACTGCTGGATAAAGGCCTACCCCAAGGAGTGCCATAAAGCGTGGTGCTGAGCCACTTGCATCCACTGAATTCCTTCCATGAGAGTGTCATTACGCACACCTTATACAAAAGTGAGGATTTTTTTGTTTGTAAAGCTTTGGCGGTGGTGGGGAGCCCGGCGCCACGAATTCCGCGCTCCTCCTCCAACAGCTGGCTGAATCTCGTCGCAGGTGAGTGTCTTTATACATAAAAAGTCTTCATTTTGGCTTAAACTTTAAGTGATTTATTGTTTATTGCATTTTAACATTATCTGTTCAGATTACGCTCGCAACAACATGGAGTATGGAGAAAATGGCCCACAGTGGACTTTACCAGGAGCATCTCAACTTAATGTCAAGGGTATGTTGGATAATTTTATACGAGCTAGAGCTACGCCGCAGCTATATTACGATAGTTGCACGAGTAGGTCACATAATAAAAAAATAATAATAAGAAAGAAGATTAATACTGCTGTATTTCGTATGGTTAGTGTAGAGAACCGCAGCCTTTTTTTACTTAAAACGAGGCACACCGTACGCATTATCCACTTACCATCAGTTGCTGGTTGCTTACAATGTGTCCTCGTTTGTCATCCGTTATATTTTTTTTTTTATATATATATATATATATATATATATATATATATATATATCCCCGGGGGTCTCCTTTCTCGGCCAATATATCATCATCATCATCATATTACAGCCCTTTACAAGTCCACTGCTGAACATAGGCCTCCCCCAAGTAATGCCACAAAGCACGGTCCTGAGCCACCTGCATCCATCGACTTCCTGCGTGTCTTAAGGTCGTCACTCCATCTAGTGGGGGGGTCGCCCTACACTACGCCTACCGGTACGAGGTACCTTAAAGTATAATATATATATATATATATATATATATATATATATATATATTACTTTAATAAATTATAAAGGTTTAATTTTAAAGCAGATTATTTATTATGCTTTGTTTACAGTACACCCTAATCTGCAGCCTGCGATACTGCCTCTGCTCGTGATACCAATGCCTGTACCATCTGCACCTCGTCAAGGTATATTGATACGCTTCCTGTGGATTGTTGCTATATCAAACTGTTACTTAATGATTTCTTTTTAATTTGATTGCAGAATGTCCCGTTAGTAATGACATCGGCCACAAACAAGTTCATGATAAACAAAGTAATGATAAACAATCTTATGATAATTATGCCCCGAGAAAGCCACAGTCAGACTATCATGCTCCTCCTGGTTTTAGCGATTTCGACGATATAAGTGAAGTATATCCTACCAAAAAGCCGCAAAGATTGTGGACGCAAGACCAATCTAAAGGACGTCCGTATACTACACCTTCTTATGAATTTATTCCTGAAGTAGATTCAAGTTTAGTACCACAATTCGAAAAAGTTGGTGAGTGTTTTTGGTGTTGGTTTTTTTTAAATACACAAATACATTTTCCGTTCGATCAAATATTTTGCTATTGGGGTATTCTTTCTTTAAAATAAGTTTGATGGTGTATCAGTCCAACTATAAATTATTTACGAGTGAGTTAAAATATTTTTATTAAGACATATTTTTTAAAAGACTAGGATTTTGTTTTTATCGTGTAGAAAAGTTCACATTTTTAAATTACACAAGGATAAACATCTAGACGCTACTTAGATTTTTAAACACACAAAAAACGGCAAACTCAATGATTAATATGAAACGAAAAAGCTTGTGTATCAAATTTATCAAGTTTTACAAACATACTTAAGACCTGTATTGGATTTTTTATATGTGTTATGGGATCCGTATTTCTATAAAGATATAATATTACGGGAAAATGTTCAGAGGAAGGCTACAAAAACGGTAAAACAACTGTGAAATATGAAAATTCTTAACCTAACAACACTGTAGTACCGCAGACAGAGAGGTTGTCTGATTGAAAATACAAAATACTGACGGAAAATTACGATGCGCCCAATCTCAAAATTTATACTTACTAAATAGCAACGCACGTCTGAGAGGACATCAAATTTAAGTCTGCTATAGGGCTGCCAAGCGAAATCCCATGCAGAGTTTTATTACAAATCTTGTTTTACTAATTAAAATAACGTACTGAAAAATGTGATTAATGCTTTCACAGTGAACGCCCTCAATAATGGATTGAATAAAGTCTCCGTAGGTTTTAGTTGCTAGTGTGCTAATAATAGCAATACCTGTTCCGTACGGGCTGCGAACCCACTGCCGTACGCGCCGCGATATACGGTTTGCAAAATGGTTTTATATGTTTCTAAATGTGCCATGTATTCCTGACAGTTTCGTCGCAGCAGTTGGTGGAGATGTTCCGCACGCAGGCGCCGAGTGCGCCGTACGAGCCGCCCATCAAGCAATCGCAGTTCGACAGCAGCGAGCGAGCACCAACCCCCCTGCAGTCGGACACGGACCCACCTCCACACGGGCGCACATACGTGGATGCTCCCCCCGCGCCCGCGCCCGCGCCCGTCCCGTCCCGCTCCCGCTCCCCCGCCCGCCCCCGCTTCGACCGACCGCTGCTGTTGCGCGGCGAGCTCACCGTGCCCCGTGCCGATTACTCAGAACCATACACCGTGTGGTACGTAATGATTTCTTATATTTACGCGAACACTACACATTGAAATAATACTAGTTTTTACGGAATTTATCGCGTATATTTAACTTTTAATACCCGACGTTTCGAACGCTTTACAGCACTCATGGTCACGGGCAGGACTGAGATGTTCAACTAAGACGTTCAACATATGGACGTTGAACATCTCAGTCCTGCCCGTGACCATGAGTGCTGTAAAGCGTTCGAAACGTCGGGTATTAAAAGTTAAATATACGCGATAAATTCCGTAAAAACTAGTATTATTTCACCGTGTGGTACGTTGCCTTTTTAATTCACTGTAATATAATTCTTAGCGCTCATTTATTAATCGTCATTTATTGTAACCTATCGAAGATCCATTGTTTAACATAGGTCTCCGTCATGGATGTCTCTTTGGGGAAATATTTATACAGTTGCCACAGCTGCCACGGAAAGTTCTAAGTCGTGTAATGGCGGGGTGAGAGTATCCCAGACCTTCCCGCGCGTGTCGGAAGTGGCGATAGAGGGTGATAAACCAGGAGATGAGCAACAGCGCCTTCTTAACAACACAATGCAATACAATTCAACATTTTATTATTCAACATTATCGACCCGCCCCGGATTTCCTTTTATCATTTAATAGGATAGCGTGACAAGCGAGCACACAGTCCACCTGATGGTAAGTGGTTGCTGCAGCCCATAGACATCCATATCTATCCTCGATTACAAATCAAAATGCAGATGCGTTGTCACCCGTGAGGACTAAGATGGAATGCCTCGTTTCTAGTTAAAAAGAGTCTGCGGTTGTTTTCACTCATCATACGAAACACACAATTAAGCTACTATTTCACGCTGGTATTCTGTGAGAGCGTGGTCCTTCCCCGGTCGAGCCGACCCACTCGTGCTACAACTACACTACTAATATAACTGCAGCATGGCTCTACCATGTATAAAACAGTTTCACTTGAAATCAATATAAATGTCTATTTAAATTTAAGGTCAACTTTTCGATTTCTCTAAAATAATATCGCCACGTTTTTCGGATAAAAATAAGCTGTATCACTCCTGGCATTGCTCTCTATTTGTTTGTTACGATCGACATTGCAGACAGACAAAACATTTGGAAAAATTATAAAAACGATAATTAACAGCACGCGAAAAACGCTCAGCTTAATAAAAAGACATTCGGTTCGATATTACAAACACTTCAATTTTATTTAAATTATTTATGTAAAGAAGGCGAACTAAATTTGTACATGGCAGAATCATGTTGCAGCTATATTGTACGTGGTAGAGCCATTTTGCAGCTATATTAGCAATATAGACGTAGCACGAATGGGTTGGCTCGACCGCGGAACGGTCACGCTGTCACAGAATACCAGCGTAACATACACATATATACAGCCTAACGCTGCTGTATTTCGTATGGTGAGTGTAGAGAACCGGAGACGCCTTTTATTTATAATCGAGGCATTCCGTCTTAGTCCTCAGGGGTGACAACGCATTTGAATTTTGATTCTTAATCAGGTGGACTGTGGGCCCGTTTGTCACACTCATCCTATAAAAAGAAAACTAACTAATAATATTATATTAAAGACGACACTGTATCAAATAGCAGCCCCGAACTCATTTTCCAACAAAAGGTGAATTATATATACTCTGCAGACAAATACCAAGAAAGCTACCTTTGAAAACCTATTATATGACCAATAAAGACGATGCACTGCGTGATGGAAATCAAAATAAAAATCTTATATACTTATGACATGTTACGAAGGTATTTTCGAATGTAATTTTGAGGTTTCCAAATTCAACATTTATGTAAAATCGATTTCTAATGAGGTGAAGTATCATATCTACTTTCATATTTGTCGGTGAGTTTAGTTTGCTTTCGGTGGTACGTTATTTCTTGTGAATTTTTAGAGCATTCCTTCAAAATAATTTGATTAGGTATAAAATGATTATAACTAGATAAAATCATTTCAATCATTGTCATCATCATCATCATCTTTACCACCATTAAAATCCTTCACAAGTCCACCCCCGGACAAAGGTCTCCTACCAGGAATGCCACAAAACATGGTCCTAAACCAAGTGAATTCATCAACTTCCTGTGTGTCTAAATCTGTAAATATTTTTGTTTATCTTAGTAAGATATGATACATTATATAAAAGTACCCGGTTGACCAAGCTTTGCTCGGTATTTTTTAATTCGTGTGTTTTGGAAATTATATTTAGATACAAATTACATACTGATGAAATACGAATAATATTTTTTGATCTTAGCGACATAATAGAAAAAAACTGAACTGGTTATTTGAATAAAAAATCATGTGTGCAATTAGTTTAATTTAAATTTTCGTGTTTTTAAAAAGTACTAAAAAAGGGCACGAAAAAAGAGATTTTCTCAAAAAAGAAAGGAACTTGAAAAAAAATTAAAAAAGTCGGTTGGTCGGTCTGGGCTCGAACCATGGTATTACAATTTTGTGACCACCCAATATACCAATTAAGCTATTTGTTATTATTAATAAACTGTCAAAATTTACCTTCTTATTCTAATGATATTGTAGCAGTTTTTCATTGCTTAAAAACACGGACAAAAAGACATTTTCTAAAAATAAATCCTAGCTAGATCGATTTATTGCCCCCGAAACTCCCTGCACACAAAATTTTATGAAAATCGTTGGAGCCGTTTCCGTGATTCCGATTATATATATATACATATATACATATATACAAGAATTGCTCGTTTAAAGATATAGGATAACTCCTATGAGATTTATAATTGGCTTCAGGTGGGACCCGGTGAACGGCGGCGCGCGTATTGATTATCATGGCGGCTCCACGTCCACCTTCCGCTCTCTGCACGATGGTAACGTGTATCGAGCAGAGGTGAGCTCATGCAGTAATGTGGTACCAATACATATATTAAAAATGTAACATAAACTTATAGGCTAAATTATAGTAATTATATATCTTAACTAACCAATCCAAACGTTCAGAAAAACACAGACAATATCACGTAGTAGAATAGTTGACCGAAAACTGTCTAAGCGAAAATAATCCCTGGGAGTGAAATGGTCGCTGCCAAGCTTTTTCGAATATGATTTATACAGTAATTTGTTTAACATAATATGATAGTAAACTTTTTTTGAAAAAAGAAATGGTTCTTAACAGGGCTGAGGTATTTCCCGAAACAGTGGTAATTTTTTTTTTCTTTTTTTTTTCTGCCTTTCAATAAGTATTATCAATAATATAATGAATTAAAATATCTATTTCTATTTCTACTAGTGCGTAATAAAAAGCCTCGCGGACTTTTCTCCACCAGATGCACGTGGATCGCAGTGGCGAGCGGCCGGTGCAACGCTGCGCTGTGGGCTCGCCGCAGCGCGAGGGGCCCGACGACCGCGCGTTGCCCGTGCTGCCCACAGAGCTTGACCAGTTCTCCTTTGCCGGTATGCGCTTGAACTTTTTAAAATGAACACTTCTTCCTTAAAAGTGAACGTAAGTGAACCGTCACACTCGGCTCAGTAACGCACTGAAACGTGTACATTCAGCTCCTATCGCCAACAATCACTTTTACTTTCTGATAAGGAGTGCATCGTTTCAATAGTAACGTTTTTAATATTAGGAATTATGACAATAAAACAATATTATAATGTGTATATACTGTGCATATACAAATAGTACTTTATACCACTTTGATTAAGGGTAGTTTAATATGATACGCGTATGTAGTATCACCCAATGAACAGTGTAAAAGAATTGGAAAAATCAGAACTTTTTGTTTTTGCCGTATGTTCATAAACATAAACCTAATTTTTAATCTGACGCCATTATTAAGTTACTGCCAATACTATAATAAATAATAAACTCTTGGTCACAGGCTTTCTCTGATTCCTGAGAGGGTTTTAGGGCAGGGAAATGTCGCTGCATATGCAACATGTTTTATTTCAGACGGAGCGGTACGTCAAATTTTCAAAATATTGTTTCAAAGAAAAATGAATACTTTAGAGCTGCATGAACGCAACGAGGACGTGGTATGATCAGGTCGGGAAAAACTATCGTCGGCGACGTTGTTTACCCCGCCTCGCCTCGCGCGTACCACGTCCCGTCCGTGTCAGTCAATGTGCATACGCAGTGAAAAAGATAGAAGAGAAGAAAACAAGTGGAAATGCTCAATTGAATTATTCAAATGAAAAATCCGTCTTTGACGACACTAGCACGTTAGTTTTAAGTCACTGTCACGTTGCGTATACTCTCTTCCGTGTTGACATACAACCACGTTCCGTCAGCTAAAATGTGCGCCACGCTGACCCAGTGTGTGTTAGCGTCTATCTTTATTTAAATGGTGTTTAGTATATTATGTCTTCTACTGCTGCATTCCTTCTTTACAACCTATTAAAACTCACTGCTGCACGTAAGCCTCCCTCGCAGACTGCTTCATAGGGTATGAGTATTGAGTATTTTGACCATGGATAGGCGCGGATGACATGTGCGCTGTTGTGGAACTATGCCTGATACTTTGTAATTTACAAGTTGTTTTTTAAATTTTCTAGCTGTTATCAGGAATCTATTGCCAGCCATCTCCTGGTTTGTTTCCCACTGTCGCCTCTTACAACACCCACGGGGCGATATGTGGTAGTGCATATTCTTACACCACCACCACTCGGTATAAGGCTCCCAAGGTGATTAGAATTAAAATATTAAGCAGTTTCTGACTGAAAGGAGTTGTTGCGTGGCAGGATACGTGGAGACGGCGCGTGGCAGCGCGGAGGTGTGGCGGCGAGTGGTGGCGGGGCGCGCGGGCGAGCAGGGCGGCGCGCGGGGCGAGTCACTCGCCACGCGCCACGACCTGCTGCTGGCGCGCGACGCGGACCGGATCGTGCCACTCTCGTACGTGCCACACCTTATATAATAATAGAATGTAAACTTATGCAGTGTGCCCCAAAGCTCAATATAGTTAATCTGACTAGATACCAACAGCGTCAGCGTTTCAAATGCAGTAGAGCCATGCTGCAGCTGTAATTTGGTGTAGCACGAATGGTCGACTCAACCGGGGATGGAGCACGCGTTCACAGAATACGAGTGTAAAATAATTATAATGCTGGTGTGTTCCGTATGGTGGGTGGAGTCTACTTTTACTACAAACGAGGCATTCCATCTTAATCCTCAGCATTTTGCATTTTGATTTTTAATCGAGGATAGATGTAGATGTCTATGGACAACGGCATCTACTTACCACCAGGTGGGCTGTGTGCTTATTTGTAACTCTTATTCTATGTGAACATTGTCCCAAAGCTCGGTGTCGATATACTAATTAGAGACAATGTCAAGTGGATAGTGGGCGAGAGGCTGGGCCATTTTTGTGAAAATTATCCCCTTTTATGCAATTATAAAAAATGCCTATGTACTTTGACAAGTTTCGATTGTTGTTGGAGAGTATGTTTAATGGATTTAACTGCGCAGGAGATAAACAAGTGCTAGAGGCACTCACTCGTCTTAAACTAGCCGTTACTTATGTAACAGTACATCGTAGCCTTACATTGATCTTGTTGCGAGATGATAACGGCAAGGTTAGGATCGGTAGGAAATTTTGTTTCCACATAGATGTCAGCTCGTCTAGTGCAGAAGTAGATGTTATTGAACTAACCTGACTACTAACTCTATTTTATTAGTACATTTATGCAACAAACAGATCGCTACTACTACAAGTTGCTACTGAATGCTAGATACCTGTCACCCTCATCAAAGAGAGAAGGTAAGTATTATAAACTGTAGTCTTAAAGTCTTGAAAGCTAAAGGTGAACCAGATACTCAATCGTTATCATTCTCATGGGTGATAGCTCATTTGCTTTTTGATTATCAATCACCTTTTTATTCAACACCTTTAAATAATCCGCCTTTTAATTTACCATCGGATAAATTGCGTCGTATCACCTTTACCTCTATATAAAATCCTTTAATATTTTGTTTCCTCTATTCTTAACCTCTTGTTTCTGCGGGCAGGTACTCGGTGTCAGTGAACAGTTCGGTGCTGGGCCCCGACTGCGACGGATATCATCACGAGTACTTCGAGGTCTCTGAACAACAGCACATGCCGAGCATTTTTAATTTGGATCTCGGTAACTGCTCTAATTTTTGTAACTTTTTTAGTCTTTAAAATTTTTTAATCGTCATCTTTTATATTTATTAAAGGTTAATGTTATTTCCAGATGAAGCATGTAATCAGGTTGAATATGTGAACGCGTCTATGCCGGATAATCTAGCGCGACTGGAGCCGCTGCGGGAGTTCACATTGCCGCATAGAGACCCGCGATATGACACTAAACTTCAAGAGTGCGTTTAGATTACTTAATCCAAAAAGTTATTATTATTTAATGCAATTGTACAATTCTTTACAATTTCAATCAGTACTTATTGCGGTATGCTACATGAATAAGAATGATCATGAACTATATATATATATATATATATATATATATATATATATATATATATATATATATATATATATACTTCAAAATTTATTCATAATTCATTCATTCATATTACTTATTGCAAATTGAATCGTAGTCCTTCACTGCCGGCCGTATGAGAAAGCTCAAAGTCGCTCAGTGTACGACAGAAAGAGCTATGTTCGGAACTTCTCTGCGGAATAAAATCCGTAATGAGAATATCCGCAGTATAACAAGAGCAACTGACATAGCCCATCGGGTCAGTAAGCTGAAGTGGTAATGGGTCGGACATGTTGCTCAAAGACCGGCTCAAAAACTTTCTTCCTAGTGGATCACGAGAAAGAAAAGTTCTCGAGTAGTATCGAACTGAAACGCACAACTTGCTACGGTATAGATAGAGTAACGACCTAATGAAATATGCAGGTAGTCTATATATAGTAGTACTACATATACTATATAGCAAATTGTGGGGGGGGGGGGGGCTTTGTTCAGCGTGTACTTGTGATAGCCTGTAGTGACAGTAAGATAGATTATATACGGAGAGGATTTGTTGTAATCGCTACACTCGACAGAGGAATTATAATGAAACTAGTTATCTCGCACTTGGACGCTGCTTCGCATCGGCAATCTGTATTACGCCTGTTAAAATAAAAAAGTACGAAATGGCTACACTGTCATCGATCATCATTATCACCATCATTACAGCCCTTCACAAGTCCACTGCTGAACATAGGCCACCCCAAGGAATGGCACAAACACGATCCTGAGCCACCTGCATCCAGCGACTTCCTGCATGTCTTAACAGATCGTCATTCCATCTAGTGGGTGTCACCCTGCACTTCACCTACCGGCACCAAGCTGCCACTCGTGAACCTTTTTGTCCAATCGGTTGTCTCTTGAGCTTCTGCATTTACCCGGGTTGCTTACATACTAGAAAATTTAAGATACGCGCGTAGCCCTAGAGCTGCCGTGGTCTCACTCCTTTAATCTGTTGTAAAAATCCACACAGGTTCATAACGGAACACGAGAGGAGCTACGCCGATAACACAGAGGAAGCTGTGCGCAAGAACATCATAATGCAGAGCCACCGGTTTGTGTCGTCGGGCAACCGCGAGGGTGCGACCGTGCAGTTGGGCGTGAACTTCCTGTGTGACCGGCTGGACGGCGAGCTGGACGAGCTGCGCGGAGTGCAGCCGGCTGCTGAGCTACGTAGGGCCGAGCGCTTCCCGCACTCGCGCCACCAACTCGCCGCCGCCGAGGACGCACTGCCCAAGCAGTTCGACTGGCGCCCGCGTGGAGCCGTCTCTCCAGTCCGATGTGAGAGTTACTCGGTTTCTGTATTTAAAAAATTAAATGAAGTTTTTTTGTGGGGTCGCTCGACAATAGATGCTTGTGTTGAGGTAATAAAACATATTTTCAATGCTTAGGAGAATTCACAGGACACTTTGGCTACATTTTATGACCTATCTAAAGTCTTTGATTGTGTTCACCATGAGACATTAATCAAGTAACTATGTACAACATTATGATGTAAGAATTTGCACCCATATTAGTTATTTCGTTATAGTTAAGTCGTAGAACGCAAACATTTGTTATTAACTGTATGAGTTCTTCCGAATCGACAGTACAAATGGAAGAGCCTCAGGGTTATATTCTCGCCCAATTTCTGTTTCTTGTCTATATTAATGACCACTTATTAAAGAAATAATAGTAGGAGCTAGTTACAATATAGTGTTATTTGCTGATGATATTTCATTAATTTTCAAACTAAAACCACAATTACTAAAATATGACTAAGTATTTTTTTATCGAATAATGGTGACCAACGAGCACACCGTCCGCCTGACGGTCAGTGCTGACTGCAGCCCACGCACACCTGCAACCGACTTTTGTCTAAACTACAGATGCGCTGTCACCTTTGGGGACTTAGATAAAATGCTTCAGAGTCTTTTATTGTACTGGATCTGTACACTCTTCAGACCGGACCAACACGTTGTTAGCACTGCTTTGTGGCGGCAAAACAGGCAATATTGTGGTACCTGCCCGGACAGCCTTCTGCAGAGAAAATGTATCGTATAATCTAGTTTAGTTTAATTAAATTGACAAAGTATATAAGCATCATAATTAACTATCTTATAGTGTGTACTGCTCTATCCCATGGACACCTACCAATTTTATACAAATAAAAGCTAAAGGATATAATACTTCAGATGATAATACGTAAAGGATGAATAGGTATGGTAAAATTAAACATTTGTACAACCGTCTCGACTTCAATATAAATAAAATGGGAACATCATTAGATTAGTTGAAGTCAAATAAATACACATTATTAAGGATAACTTAAAACTGCTGGTCAGATCTTGATCAAATTTTCACATGAGAAGCACCAGCTTTCCAATAACAAAATAATCATCAAAACCGATTCACCTAGAAAAAGTTCTGTGGTAACACAAATAAAAAAAATAAAAAAAACATACAGTGAATTAATTACCTCATCCTTTTTGTAGTCGGTTAAAATTATAACAATCGATTCAACGTAGTATTAAAAAAACAATAACTTTATTCTTAACGTAAAATTAAAAAGTGACTTTTATCTATAATTATATAATATATATATAAAGTATAGTATATATATAAAGTGAAAAAAGTACTCTTATCTATAATTAGCTGATTTGATTTGATCGCTTTGGCTGTAACTTATATAGAATCATTGCGAAATAATTTATAATGACGTCGCAGTCATGTCTAACCACAATTTTTTTAAGTTACGTATTTTATTGTAATAACGTTTCATTTATTTTTGCTGAACTGTAAAATTGCAACACACTTATGCCAGTTTCATTTAATTTTGCAGATCAAGGTACGTGCATGTCGTGCTGGGCGTTTGCTGTGGCCGGCTCAGTGGAGGGCGCGCTGTTCGTGCGCACGCGCCGCCTGGTGCCGCTCAGCGAGAAGTGCCTCGTAGACTGCGCGCACTCGTTAGTACACAACTACACATTAACCACTTCGTCGTGTACTGGCTTAGTAAAGCCGCGGGTTCGAATCCTGCACAGAACAAGTATTTGAATAGCCAACGAGTAGTTGTCCCGTGTCTCGATGTTTGTCCTTGTGAAATTTATGTGTGTAAACTGCCTCCACGGTACAAGGGATAATCTTATGGGGTAACGTTTTTTTTAAATAAAGACGATAAAGGAAATGCTAACTGTGTTCTTATCGCAAGTTATGATCATCAGACTGAATATCATTCACTATTGGACGAAGACTTCGCCCACAGTCGAAAGGAAGTGCAACAATCGCGTCGCCCGGCAGGTGATATGAGACGGTTGCTTCGCCGTGAGTCACAAGACACGAGGTCGTACTCGTAAAAAAATGAATACGTCGGCTAATGTGACGCCTGCGGGGTTTCATAAACCATTCATTCATTATAATCTGTCGAAGCCCACTGCAGAGAGGGCCCACAGATTGCCTAAAAGTGGAATTATTGCCATAGTTGCCGGGCTCGCCATGCGCGTTGGCTACTGCTTTTTAAAAAAATTGTTTTTTGAAAGTTAGTATTACTCACCTCGGTTAGTTTCCCTCGGTTATCTCTTCGTCTACCCACGAGACGGTATGATACTGGATATTACTACACTGCCACTACACGATTATATATATATATATATATATATATATATATATATTTGAATATTTTATCTAATTATTACATATGAAATTCTCCCAGGGTTGACTGGTAGAGAATGCCATAAGGCATTAAGTTCACCCATTGTAACCCTTAGATTAAGGTGTAAAACAATAAAGATTAAATAAATAAATAAATAAAAAAATACGTGTGGCACTCGGTGACTGCCGCGGTAAAGCTATTGCATAGCATTTTTTATCAACTTATGCAATTATAATTATTATTTATTTTATTTATGCAGTTAAGTCTTTGATATTAAATCAAGTTACACTTTTTGAGCGTGGTGACCGATAAGAAAACAATTTTTTTTTCTGGTATTGAATAAATGAGAAGTTAATATTGTTTAAAATATTTTTAATATCTTACAATACATGTAGGTTATTCAGGAATTTTGACGTGACAACGTCTTATAAATTGGTTTGCCGGGTGACACTTCAAGAAACTGCGTTACGCTCCGCTCACGTTATGCGCTCATAATGAGAGCGAGTGAGAGGCACGCGTCCCTTCCACTCGGGCATGGTTAGCCCGCCTAAGAGCGAGAGAGACAGACATAAAAAGTGAAAGGCACGCGTCCCTTCCACTCGAGCACAGTTAGCCCGCCTAAGAGCGAGAGAGACAGAGCGAGAGAGAGAGAGTGAGAGAGAGAGAGTGAGAGAGTCGTTGTCACGTAAAACTTTCGCCCGTATACCGACTTTACAGGCAACCAATATTTTTTTTATCATTGAGTTAGCAGCTAGTGTACACGCACACGTCTAGTCGCACGCACACAAACTACGTGCCGAACTCTGCCGAGTGCCGAACTGAAACGACGTTAGACGATGCACGGCTTTCAACGCCACACCTCCGTGCCCGTCGGAGTGGGGAGCGTGAGGTTTTTTCGTTACGGAATTTCTGGATTCGGTCCCCGCGCTCAAGGTCCGCGATAGAAGTTATGCAATAGCTTAATATAATTTCCGTTCATCAAAAGTTTTTCCCATTACACAGACATGGTGCAAACGGTTGCAAGGGTACTTGGCCTAGCCGTGCGTACGATTACATCCAAGACAGGGGCCTGCCTGCTCTGGACGAGTTTACACCGTATGAGCCTAAGGTATACAAGTGGTAAAATTAAAAATTTTTGTACAACCGACTTCAATATAAATAAAATGAATTATCAAATTAGTTGAAGTGAATTAAATACGCATTATTAAGGATAACTCAAAAACTACTGGTTAGATCTTGATCATATTTGTATTGGATCGCAAGTGAAGCACCGGCTTTGAAATTATAAAAGAATCAACAAATTCAATTTACCTAAAAAGTCTGCGGTAACACATAAAAAAATATAGTCGAATTGAGAATCTCCTCTTTTTCTTGAAGTCGGTTGAAAAACAAAGAAAAAATAAACTAATTCAAAAGAGTAAAATTTGATTAGTGATAGTTATGTTCCTCTTTTTCTTTATGGCTTCTTTCAATATAATTCTGCCAATGTCAAGAATAATTATTTTCCAGGTCGATCAATGTGCAAAAGTGTCTCCTGTCACCCGCATCAGTGGTCACGTGAACGTAACTCAAAACAGTGTTCCTGCACTGAAGGTATATTCTGTTCAATGCACTGATATGAACAAGAGGCTGTACAATTATTGCAGGTGTTTGATGAAATATTTTGTTTTGTAGATTGCCATTAGACGTCACGCGCCGACTGTCGTTATTATTGATGCAAAGGCCAAGAGCTTCATAATGCATAAGAAGGGAGTGCTCTACGACGACCGTTGGTTTGTATTTTTTTCAGCTATTGGATGTATCTATATGCTAGAAGTAATTATGCAGTAACTTTTAACACCTGATGGTAAGTGGATACTGTGGCCCACAAACATCTACATTTATGTTCGGACAAGAATCAAAATGCAGATGCGTTGCCAACCCTAAGGACTAAGATGGAATGCTCGTGTCCAGTAAAAACTCTCTCCGGTTCTCTACACTCATCATACAAAACAGAACTATTAAGCTGCTATTTGACGCTGGTGTTCTTTGAGAGCGTGGTCCGTTCTTTCTTATATTTCATTTAATGACCGAATAATGTTATAACCATAATATAGCTATGGCTCTACCTCATACAAAACTTTTATAATTTTTTAAAGATATTTATCTTGTAATATTGCAGCGGCAAGACACGTAAGCAACTGAACCACGCGGTGGTGGCAGTGGGGTGGGGCGAGCGGCGCGGCGAGCCGCACTTCATCCTGAAAAACTCTTGGTCCTCGAAGTGGGGGGAGGGAGGCTACATCCGAGTGCAGGCGCGCGCCAACACGTGCGGAGTACTTACCATGCCGTCGTACCCGCGCCTCGAGAATGAGGACGTGCTTCGTGATCTGCCCCCTACCCAGCTCGACGACTCCAACACCATCAGGCGCAACCTCGACTCTCAATATCAAGATCTCTAATCTTACTAGTGCCATCCGTTTGTGTTATCATCATATAAAAATAAATATTGATTGAATGTCGTGTTTTATTTTAAGATATGATAATATTCATGGTTTCTTATATTTATGCAAACACTACACATTGAATAAAACTATTTATACGGATTTTATTACATTGAACTAACTTATTTTTAATTCCCGACGTTTCGGCTGCTTTAGGCCCGGTTTACATTTTGAGAAGTGACAAGCGCGAGTGGCAAGTGAGAAGTGGCAAGTGAGAAGTGACAAGTGCGTATTTTATTCCCACTTATCACATGTCACTGCCAATTTTTTCTTTACCCATTGTCACAGAGGGGGGGGGGGGGGGCTGAGATGTGTCGTCCCAATGTCATAGTCACTTGGTGACTGTGACGTAGAATCCACAGATAATGGATCATATCCGTATAAATAGTTTTTTTCCATATCATACTATTTCATGTTCTACGTGTGTTTCATCCTGGGGTCCGTAAGAAATAACTATGAAAAATACAAGAAAAATCTCAAAGCTTTTCTGACTTAGGTGGTGTAAAAACGTTCGACACTTTTCGATTATCCACTGGTGGAGTATTTTATCGTTGAGCCTCAGTTGTCAACTGTTATAATGAATTTAGGTTTCGTTCCACCTCTTGTCCCTTCTGATATTGTCTACTTAGAGTCTATGTCTAATGAAAAATAGAAAATGAAACAATTAAATGTACAAGTATTTATCCAAAACATATCTCTAAGCAACCAGAGGGTGCTCGTGTAAAACCGAAGCAAGCCGAAAATTATAAATATAGTCTTCTAAATTGTTAAGATTTTTTCTATAATGTAAATAATGTTATATATACCCGGTGTCAAATTCTTTTTCTGACCTAAAAATTAATCCATCGTTTTATTTTTCGTACAGTTCATTACCTAATAATGTTAAACAAGTAAATCCCACCGAACTTTTAGAGCCATGCTGCAGTTATATTAGTAGTATAGTTGTAGCACGAGTGGGTCGGCTCGACCGGGGAAGGACCACGCTCTCACAGAATGCCAGCGTGAAATGGTAGCTTGATGCTGCTGTGTTTGTTTCATATGGAAGAGTGTATAGAACCTAAAAAATAAGTCATTTTGATTCGTAATCGAGGATAGATGTAGATGTCTATGGGCCACAGTAACCACTTACCATCAGGTGGGCTGTGTGCTCGTTTGTCATCATATTCTATAAAAAAAAAGAACTACGATGAGTGGTTCCTGAGATACAGTCGTTTAAATATTTACAAGGTGGCTGCCAATATGCCGCCTTCTCAATTGAAATTACTGTTACGAGCTTGAGGTTCGTGACAATAAAAATTGCCGATAAAATTACCTAAATTAACACTTTAATTTACTTTACACAAATTAAAGTTAAAAACACTAATAATTAAACACACTTATTCACTTTATTCCGCTCCGAAGCTTCGCTTGTTTCGCCAAATCAACACTACTCTGATCGCATCTTGCAGCGCCTACTTATTTAAATTAGCAAAGAAATATCCAGAATGTTCAAGTAAACACGCGCAAGGTACCGAGCGTTCGAGTTTCGACTAGGCGCTGTCGGTTCAGTGATTTGTGATGTCATTTTCTCAATGCTCCCCTCGCTCTCGTTCCTGACACTAGATGGCGCTAGTGTATCGTCGACTTGAGCGCGTAACACTGCCCCCTCCTAAGACATGCTCGTCTCGAGCATTATCGGCCCCATAATAACGCGCCAAGCGATTCACATGGACGATCTTAGGAGTCCCTCTTGCGCCTTTCTGTAACGGCTCCGCAGTGTCAAGGGCTGTCCTATCCCGTGGTGCACCAACATTGTACAATTTTGGTGCTCCTCTACTACGTGTCCGAGGTCCCCGCACGGCCGCACAACTTGTACATGTACGACACCAATCCTCGACATCGTCACGATAATGGACCCAGTAAAACTGTTCTCGGACCTTCAGTAGAGTTCGTTTAACTCCCAAATGGACTCTTGAACGACCATTATGGCACAACTGTAGAACATTCGGCACTTTAGCTTTAGGGACAACCATTTGCAAACGACAGCTGTCTCTTCGACCATTGTCCCATTTACGGCACAGGAATCCATCCTGAATCAGCAAGCTGTCCCATTGGGCCCAATAGCTTTTCGTGGTTGAACTCATCGCTGAGACGTCCCTCCACTTAGGCTTGGTAGCACGGGCCTTCATCCATCCCAGAATCGGCTTGATGTCCGGATCTTCCTGCTGTGCATGTCGTAGGTTGTCCTTCCACCCGTTGCTGAGGTGGTCTGTCCTGAGCATCCTCACGGATACCACCTCCTTACTCTCTTGCCTACTACAATGGTTGCAATCTTCAGGACAAGGTCTTCTTGACAATGCATCTGCGTTGCCGTGAGATTTCCCCGCTGCAGTGTCTGATAGTAAAGTCGTATTCCTGCTGCTGCTGGGCGGTGCTGTTAGCCGCACTTCCTTTCTGAGACCGTTCACCTTCCCTTCGTAGGGTGTGCTCAGGGCAGCTGGACCGAAGATGGCCCCTTTCCCCACAGCCATAGCACCTAGGGCTGTATCTTTTATTGTGGTCGCGAACCGTAACTGCTGTAACCTCCCTAGCGTGAGGTGAACGATGATCCTGTCGCCGCCAGGCAGTGTCGTTAGCTGCACTACCCTCTCGAGATCGATCAACTCTCCTTTCCACGGTGCGCTTAGGGCAGCTGATTCGCAGATGGCCTTTTTCCCCACAGCCCTACCACCTAGGGCTGTATCCTTTGTTGCGGTCGCGAACTGTAGCTGCCGCAACCTCCCTGACGCGATGGGAACGATGATCCTGCCGCACGGCTTCCACTTCCAGTGCATGGGCCAAGGCGTTCTTAAGCGTCTCGTGGTGCCCGAGCCTCACAGCAGCTCTGACTTTCAGGTCGCGGATGCCGTCGATGAATGTCTGCACCAGGTTCCCTTCAATGAGCGCAGGTACAGACCGGTATGCTTTCCGCACCAGCTTCTCCACCTCTAGAGACCACTGCTGCAGGTTTTCGTTGATGCGCTGCACGCGATCTTTAAGCTACGCACGAAAGACATGTTCCAGGTGAGCGTCGCCATATCTCGCCTCCAATGCCTCAAGGAGTTGCTCATAAGTCACTTCCTCCCCGAGAGCTTCCAAAACTGTTAAGGCCTGGTCGCGCAGGCCTAGTGTGAGAGCAGTCATTGCCTGACTGTTATTCCAGCCGTTCGCCTTCATAACAGCCTCGAACTGGATTTTGTAGGCTGACCAGGAAGAAGTCCCGTCGAACGGTGGCACTTTGAACCCACGTAGCGAAGGTGTAGTAGCTACTACGGGAGTTGTAGTTCCATCACCCAGTTTGAGGTCGTCCAACGTTTTCTTCACGTCAGCCACCACGTAATCAACCCGATTGTTCACTTGGTCGATTTGGGTTTTAGCTTCCTTGATTTGGGTTTCAGCTTCCGACAGGCGGTTGTCATGTTGAGCAACCTTATCCTTCACCTCCTTTATCTCTTTCCCAAAGGTAGCATGAAGGTCCTTAATGAGGAGCATCTGCTCTTCTGACCGACGGGCCTGTTCCTCCTGTCGGCGGGCCTGCTCCTCTTGTCCGCCCCGCAGCTGCTCTTCCAATCGGCGGGCCTGTTCCTCCTGTTCGCTCTGCAGCTGCTCTTTCAACTGATGGACCTGTTCCTCCTGTTGGCGAGCCTGTTTCTCCTGTCGGCGAGCCTGTTCCTCCTGTCGGCGAGCCTGTTCCTCCTGTCGGCGAGCCTGCTCCTGCAGCATCACCATCAGAGCACCTAAGTCAGGTGCTGCAGATGTAGGAGCTACCGACGGGCCTTCAGCCGGTGGCTGGCCCTCCGACGTCTGCGGCGTTGCACCACCAAATCTTCGTTGGTCCGTCTCCTGCTGGCGTTGACTTCGGGTACGGACACCCTCGGTTTCCTCCTTAGGTAAAATCGGCATGATTTTATCCCACTTCTGACACCAATTGTTACGAGCTTGAGGTTCGTGACAATAAAAATTGCCGATAAAATTACCTAAATTAACACTTTAATTTACTTTACACAAATTAAAGTTAAAAACACTAATAATTAAACACACTTATTCACTTTATTCCGCTCCGAAGCTTCGCTTGTTTCGCCAAATCAACACTACTCTGATCGCATCTTGCAGCGCCTACTTATTTAAATTAGCAAAGAAATATCCAGAATGTTCAAGTAAACACGCGCAAGGTACCGAGCGTTCGAGTTTCGACTAGGCGCTGTCGGTTGAGTGATTTGTGATGTCATTTTCTCAATGCTCCCCTCGCTCTCGTTCCTGACACTAGATGGCGCTAGTGTATAGTCGACTTGAGCGCGTAACATTACTATAGCTTTTTTTTTCTTGATCTTGAGCTATTTGTTTGAGAAAACTAAAACCTATTACTTGAAAATATTTTCAGATTTCAGGCTTAAAAATGCCTTTCTAAAGCTATCAATGAAAACATTCTATCACGAGTCTACTTGTAAGATTCGTCCCAATGTCAAATTTAATCTTTGACCCCTTACTAGGACACACTTTTATTTATTTTTAGCGATTTTTCTTGTGTAGAGCGATATCGAAAAACTGCTATAGCTTCGGCGATGGACCTCCACCCAAACGGGTTCTCGCCTCGCGTAATGGCGACAGGGCTTAGTAGCCGTGGCTTGATCACCCACAGTGAACTAAGAAGAACACACATAGTGGGCTTGATAAGCTCATTTCGTTTAAGTTATTTTAGGTTTCGGTTAGCATCCGCATTGGCTGGTCGGAAGTCAGAGTGGGAAGGTACACGAAGTACCTAGGCTTCCATCTGGACAGTCACTGGGATTTCAAATAACATTTCAAGTTCCTGGTCCTTTTCATTGAAAGGGTTGCGGTTGCTGCCAAATCCTTAGGGGACTGACGGAGGACGTATGTCGCCTATATGCGGGAGTTATATGGTCTGTAGCTCAGTACGGAGTGTCTGTATGGACATAAAG